ATTGTATCCCTCCGAGTAAGACGTATCGAGAATTGCATAATTCTCTTACATCCTTCTGCATTTGTAATGTAGTTGCATTGGTTATTGCTAGCTTTAAAACTGTCGCGATGTGTTGCCGTCATTACACTTTCTTTGCATGATCATAAGTTATGTCCGGCTTTTGTGCATTGTCTTGCATCTTGCCCCCGCCTTCGGGCGCATATCTTATTGTCTTGCATGTTTTTTTCGAGTCTGTCGGCCTTGTTCAAAAATGGGTCGTCTATAGCGCTTTGACATTCACTCCCGCCATGTTATGACTTTCGAGTTTTGTCAAAGAGGGGCAAACTGTAGACACCCTATTTTTGACCGTCCTCAAGAGTTGGACGTCACCATTGGAACACTTTGGTTGAGTTACCCTTGTTTGTGTTTTCTTGAGTTCTTGGAGGTTTCGTTGCGCGCCCTTGCCTCAGGATCTCTCGACCGACCGGTTGTGTCTGGTTTTGCACCAAAACACTTGTGTTGCCTTGGAGGGGCAGGGCAATGCCTTCTGAGGCAACCCCACACTATCACCGGCATGGCTTGAGGCCACCGGCTTTAGTGGATTTATGCCATTGGCAATTGTATATGCCAAATCGGCACTCTTGCTGCGCGTCGACCATTTATTTTTGCCAAAATTGGCAATTTGAATGGCCGATTACTGCTCATCTACTTTTAGTAGATATTTTGTTGCCAGCGGTGATAGCTGGCACCCACTCTGTTCCCCTTCATCACGTGTATGAGGATTTCCCTCTTGGAATGCTTATTTGGAAGGCCTTACAAGAGGGAGCTGGCCTATAAGAAGAGGCTCCTCTCTTGCATGAGGTTACAAAAATTTTCAGAGGGAGGCTCTGGATTAGGGTTAGGGTTGATACATATTTCCTATCTCTATATCCTTCGTTGTGTGTCTAGTGGTGTGTTTGTCCATACATTGCACACAAAACACATAGTGTTACACCTTCTCTTGGTTGTGAGACAGAGGTTGTTCTTTGGTGTTCTTGACTGGATTGGAGCTCAAGAGGCAACAAGATCATCATTTTGAAGGAGGAACTTCAAGGGTAAGAAACTAGTCCATTTTTATCCCATTTTTGCACACTACTTTTACCTAATCTTGCAACTGTTTTTTGGGGCTTTGATGTAAATAATAAAAGTTCTATTTTTAAGGCCTCTAAAATAGTTTGTTAAGAGTGTTTTAAGCTTTGGGTTGTTTGACCCCTCTTAGCCTTGTTTTGGCCCTTTTTTGTGCTATTTTGTGTGAAGCTCCGGGACTTTTGGTGTTTGGGCCGTCCTCACCACTGAAATCTTGAGGAAGTTTCAGTGGTAAGGATTGGTGCCTTGAGGTCCCAAGAAGGGAGAGGGCCACCCACCTCTCCTTGTGTTCCTTGAAAGGACCCATTTTCGCCTCTTGAGGGGGCCACCTTAGCTTTAGGCTCTTGTTGGACCAATGCCTTAGCTGTTATTTATTGCTTATTTTTTCATGAAATTGCATTGTTTTAAGTTGGTTTTGGTACACCATGCTTGCTTAGCATACATGCCTTGTAATGCCATTTTGTTACCTTAACATGCCTTAGGTTGTAACCATTGTCTCTAGCATGTTTTAGGCTTGGCTTTGTGAAGCTTCATTGTTTATTTTACACCATGATTTAAGGGACTTCCTAGTTGTTTGGGTCGACTTTGCATGCATGTATAGCCCCTTGCATTTTGGCTTTTGCCTTAAAGTGTGTGAGTGATTACTGCTTTATTTAGTAGGTTGGGACCATTTTCATTTCAGGTTCAGTCTACTAGTAGTGCTTGTATGCTTGCATTCATGGGTCCCTTTGATGTGTCAAAAGCTTGTGTTGCATGCTCCATGTTTGCGTCATTGTGCATGCTTTTGAATCAAAGTCATTTAGATGCCATCAAGTAATCTTTTGGGCTTTGTCTTATGTGCTAAAAACTCTATTTGGTCATTGAATTCATAGCCATGATTGGTCATGTTTAAAGTTGGTTCAATACCCCTTTAGCTTGCTGTTGAATCTTGGACTTTGCTTGCATACCTTGATTGCATGTTGGGTTGGTTTGGCACCATGTTTCTTGGCATGCATTTTCCCAAAGCTTAATACATGCTAATTGCTCCATGTTATGCCTCTTTCAAGTGTGCTTGAGAGTTGCCCTTTTTGTGCTAAGATTAGCCCTTTTTAACCTTGGTGCATGTGTTGTGTGTGTGTTGGCCTCCATGTTTGAGCACTTTGTGGCCACTTGATTTAGGCTTGTTTTGAGAATTGCCCTAATCTGTTTAAGTCCATCTCTTTGGCTTGTTGCATGCCTACCTTCGCATGGTTGCTTGCATACTTGCAGTACACATTGCATTCACAGTGCATCGCTTAGCTCGCATGCCTAGGTGCATTGCATTGTGCATGCATTGCCTCACCCTCTTGAAGTGAGTCATGATTAAAGGTAGAAGCCCCTTGTTGACTATGTGCATTGGCATTTACATGCTTGAAAATGAAAAATTGCACACTGGTTGGTCGTTGGGCTGATCGACGTCATGAAATGCGCGCTTGATGGTCCGAGAACCAAGGGACCATTGTCCTTTTTGAGCCATAAAACATGATAAGGATATGGTCTGTGCATTACTCGCTTGAAATGCATTGCCATGCTTGTATGCCTTGCCCGCTGCTAGCCGTCAATTGCAGGTTCTGCAACATTCTTGGTCGACCGGCAGTGTTCAGGTCGACCCGACCATAAATCCGTGCCGATAGCTTCATCAACAGCGCATGATCACATCTTACTGCGGTGGGCCATTCTCCTGCAGCCGGTGGTGTTTCTCCCAATGTCCAGGGAAAGCAATTTCTGAGGACTTCGGCAGATTTATAGAGGCAGTAGCAGGGGAAAACAGAGGCAGCTCTATCCGAGTGGCGTGGACTTCTGAGGCAAGACCCGAGGCACGCGTGCATTGAGCCCTCTTCCCGAGGCCCTTTTTCTGCTTTCTGAAATTAATTAATTTAGTTGGTCTGTAATAATTAATTAGCTAGGGATTGTTAATTTCATTATTCGAATTGTATTATTCTTTTAGTCCCTCCGACGCGAGGCCGAATTTGTAATAAGTGTGGCGTGAGAGTGTGTGCATGTCTTCCAACCCCCCTTCTTTCGTCCCTTTTTACTTACTACTTGAGGTCAGAATAGGTTCATGTTTAAATTAGCATACCTTTATGTATGATGCGTGGCATCATTCATCAGTATTGCATGCACCGGCTTGGCCGCATCATGCTAACTGATTAGTATTCAAATCTAAACTTGAATACCATGCTACTTGTGCATTTTCACATTGTTCATGTCATAGGACTAGACCGAGCCTACTCTAGTGACTATATCCGTTAGCGTTGCATTAGATAGTTTAAAGCATGGACTTGGATCATGCACTGATTGCTAACGAGTTTCTTGTTTTGGCATGGAGACGATGTAAGTATTATTGCTTAGCATCCCTTGCATGCGTGTGAGTGTCGCCTGATAGCATGATTACCATGAGGCTAGCTGCTTATGTGATATAACTGCTTGAATGCTTGTGGGTGAAGGTTGGTTGTCTGAGTTGGAATAGGTCATTGAAATCCGTGTTTTAGCCTACTTGCGAGTAGCAAATTCCAAAACATTTTTCCAAAACAAACGGATATGCAATGCTTAATCCAAATTAGGCAATCTAGTCGTATACTTATGTTGTGCGCATAACATATTAATTCTAGGCTAATAATCAGGATAAGAACACATACGTTTTCAAAATTGGATATCATGGTTAGTAGAGAGGCCGATCTTCGGACCGGGACGAGAGGGGGTGCTTCATAGATGACCTTCCCCAATCGTACCCAAGTTCCCGAGCCGAGGCAACTTTGGTGATGATGGACGCATGGCCTTTGGCACCGAGTCAGGGTTTCCTAAATTCATCCCAAAATAAAAATATTTAGGTGGCGACTCTGTATCTGGCAAAGCAGTCCATGTTTGCACTTCTTTCAAAAATCTGTTTCTCAAAATGATTTGCCGCGATTTGGACTTCTTTGGATTCAGATTAAGAACCGTGAGACATTTGAGAGTCCTGAACTGCTAGTGAACCCAAAACGAACGGAACGGGACTCGTCCTCCCGGGGCGTTCGGGGACGTCTACACCATGAAAAAATGTTGTCCACACAAAAGAGCCAATCAAAATCCAATTAACTCACCACACATCTTCTAGTTCCAGCAATGGCAAATTCCACACCTCAATTCCCCATGGTAGTGTCCCCCTCACTCCACACCAGAAGAGGTCTGAGAACTGCACTAAGTTGAATCACATGAATATGTACGGATCATCAACCAAATAACGAAAAAGCCAAGTGCAGTAGACAGCAGAATGCATAAAGGCCCACCAATTTCCAAAACAAAAACCACTCAACCACTTGGATTTATCAACAAGAAAGAAGCATTAGCCCATGCAAAAATGTTGTCCACACAAAAAACCAATCAAAATCCAATTAACTTGTCACACCTCGAACTCGCCCCTAAAAGTTTGGGCATGACCACCTCAGAAACGGACATAAAACTTGATGAATATAACTTATGGGGCCTGAACGGAAGCATATATTAACATATAATAGCGTAACATAATACCCATTGAGCTACCACTACCATGCCAGGATCACAAATTACATAATGTAGATAAATATACAGAGACGTGCATCTGAAGACAGCTATGTACATATACATATACGTCGATCTTAACAGACATGTAGGGTACAAATTAAAAACTTAGCAAAACTCCATAACTTGAACGATCAACATCTAGGAGCTTAGATACTCAGGGATTGACAATTGGGTAACAAAAGCCACAAGTTAAGGTTGACCTCCAGTTTGAGTGCCTACAGAAACAAACACAGAATAGAGTGAGTCAAGCTCAGTGAATAATAGCACATAACAATTCATTGCTCAACGTGAATTATAATACATATCCGTACATTTATCAATAAAGATAACATATGGTTTATTTATTTCTATATGCATAGCAAAGTATCTTTTTCAGAAAACTTGTCATATCTTGAATATTCGCGGTTTCATAGTGCATCTAGGCATTTTGGGAAAATTATCCAGAAAGCGTATCATGTCATAAACATATCAGAAGTTCATAGCATTTTTCTCATTTTAGAAATTACTTATCATATGAAACATTTCGTAACTCAAAATACGGATTTCATTAAACATTGTATAGCATAGTCATGTTCAAAATCATTTATACGTAAAGTATCTTTTACAGAACGGCCTTGGCCCTAATCCTAAACACAGTGGCTTTAAGCCCTTAACAAAACGACATGAAATCCTTAACAAAATGGCATGAATCCCTTAACAAAATGGCATGAAGCCCTTATCAAAATGGCATAAAGCCCTTGAAACACATTGGCATTAAAGCCCTTGAAACATATGGCATAAAAAGCCCTTGGAACACTTGGCATAATAGCCCCTTGAAACATATGGCATAAAAAGCCCTTGAACATAGATTCGCATTAAGCCCTTGAACACATAGATATATGAACCCAAGAGGTGTCTCACACGGATTCTAGAGGTGACTCACGTCGTAGCACTTAGTTCCGTGTAGCACTTTGTTTCATATCAGAACAGCATAAGCCCTTATCAGATTGGCATAAAGCCCATGTAATGGCATAAAGCCCTTGTCTTACATGTATGAACTCAAGAGGTGGCTCGTACGGATTCTAGCTGTAACTCGCATTGCAGCACTTAGTTCCGTACAGCACTTTGTTTCATACTTCATACAAAATGGCCATTGGCCTCATAACTTTCACATATGTATGGACTCAAGAGGTGGCTCGTACGGATTCTAGAGGTAACTCGCATTGCAGTACTTAGTTCCGTACAGCACTTTGCTCCATACCAGAATTTCATAAGTCTTAAAGACCGAATCATCATATCATGTCTTAGCATAGCATAATTGGAATAGTAATAGAAATAATTCCAGTTTTCGTAGAATACCATTATGTAATAATGCCCATAAGTTTCCCATAGCTTGGTTACAAATTAATACAGGTGTCTCGTAGACAACTGAATAATAATAATTACAACTGTTAACTGAGGCCACATATATCATTACCATATGCTTAATAAGGACAGAATAACCCACATCCTAACGTGAGTCCCACAAGAATGTTACACATTTGCATGTTTGTCATAGGTTCTTAACGACCTTAGGTCCGTATGTATCACAATGGAATAATCTTAGTTTCATACAGATACTTGGTTTAAAGATGAACATAATTCCATATAGTCATTCAGAAACGACGTGGTTTACTTACAAATAACAGAGAATTATTATTCGTTATTAACAGAACATAGTCATTTCAAAGTCATACCGATGTATGCCAATCTTTCAACATTCACATTGACTTTCAATCATCATAAATGTTCGTGTAACGTGTTCGTGTAACACTTACAAGAAACAAAGCGTTAGTGATAGTAGTTATCAATGATAAATAAAATGTATATCTTCGTACTAGTACTCACAGTGTTGAGATGACGTGTTACTTCCTCCCGGAGTGTGTCCTGCACACATTCAAAACTTATACATTAGTTCATTTTTCCTTCTCAATTTACCTTCTGTTTCACTTCACTTCGAAGGAGCGTATCAATATCAAAAAGGCCTCAAATATATATTTCGACAATATTAGAGAATTCTACACGTAAAACGGAGCAAACAGTGTTTTTCAGCATGAGCCGCACGTGCGGCTGTGAGCCCCGCAAGTGCGGCAAACTCCCTCGCACGTGCGGCAAAATTCTCCCGCACGTGCTTTTTAAGCAGAACCAAACCTTCAAAATTCGACATTTGCCGCACGTGCGGCAGTGACTCCCGCACGTGCGGCGATTCCCCTGTTTTGGTCCGAAATTTGCAACAAAAACACAACTTTTGGTACATCATCTCAACAGAACCCTCAAATACATACATTAATCTAGTTAGAACTAGTTCTTAAATTCTCACCCACAATCTAATTTCCTTTTTGCATCCAAAATCATATAACATCATAACTATATATATATATATATCTATACTCTTCATGACTTTCATGAGTAAATAAGACATAAAACTAGTTTCTCCACAAACATGCATAAGCAACTCAATTAAACATCAATCAATTGAGGAAATTACTTTCATCTCTACACGCTCTAATTTACCCAATCATTCAAAAAGAGATAATTTGAGAGAGAACTCAACAAGAGAGGGATTCCAGCAACATACATACCTTGAATCTTGATTTTACAATCCCTCACAAGATTCTAATCTTCTCTTCTTGAGGATTTCCCCTTCCTCTCTAGTTTCTCCTTTCCAACAATATTTGAGATAATCACTAGGGCTAAAACAATTGTCAAAGGAGGAAGCATACATATATAAATATAGGTGAATAAGGACGAAATTCAATTGTTTAAGCATTCCAAATTGAAATTTCATAAAAACGCCTAATATTACATAAAAATTATGCTGATCACATATATGAAATCATTTTCAAATAATTAAGCCCTTAAGGCCTCCAATTTCTGATTCAAACCTTCTAATGTAACAGATACTTTTCTTGTTAAACAGATAGACATCCTTAAACATATGGTTCACTTACTTAACTTTAATTCCTCATAGGATTTCACAATAAGCATTCGAAATCACAAAAGAGGATTCGAAAACATAACAGAGAACATGTACGAGGGTCGGGTTATTACATAACTCACCACACATCTCCCAGTTCCAGCAATGGAAAATTCCACACCTCGTTTCCCCATGGTAGTGTCCCCCTCACTCCACACCAGAAGAGGTCAGAGAACTGCACTAAGTCGAATCACATGAATATGTACGGATCATCAACCAAATAACGAAAAGCCAATAGTTGACAGCAGAATACATAAAGGCCCACCAATTACCAAACAAAAACCACTCAACCACTTGGATTTATCAACAACAAAGAAGCATAGCCCATGCAAAATGTTGTCCACGCAAAAGAGTCAATCAAAATCCAATTAACTCACCACACATCTCCCAGTTCTAACAATGGCAAATTCCACACCTCAATTCCTCATGGCAGTGACCCCCTCACTCCACACCAGAAGAGGTCAGAGAACTGCTCTAAGCCGAATCACATGAACATGTACAGATCATCAACCAAATAACAAAGAAGCCAAATATAGTAGACAACAAAATTGAAGGACGAAACAAATTTCTATATTCCTTAGTTTGCCGTGGACCCACTGATTTCTCCATAAATTAGCCTCGGTCCAAAATAAAAATGGGCATAAGAAACAACCCATGGCCACCAAACTTAGCCTATAAACCGTGGATTAGTAGACCCATTAAAAAATATAACCTTCAAAACCAAAGGGCCCCACCAATATCTTCATAACCTAATTTGCCGTGGGCCCCAGCTGCCCATGCCGTTAAACTTCCACCAAAAAACCATAGGCAACAATCAAATATTCAAAAAATCCAACATAGGCCCACCCACTCCATCAACGCCAATAGAAAATGTCCACCGTGGGCCCACCCACTCCAATTTAAAACCACGACCATAACAATTTGGCACACCAAATATATATTAAATATATATATTATAAAACCAATAAATAGAGCAATCACGTGGATGACCCAACATGAAGTTACCTCAAAAAGCAGCCATGCATCAGCTAAGTTATATATATAAAATACAAAACTCAACTTTATGAAGACCACTTCAGAAGTCCCAAAACCAATCGAACCAACCACACAAATCCACCATGTGCTAAGAACCATGCTGGAACCTGCAAACATCACATATCCATACATCACACTACGCCCCACGTTTGAACCAACAAGCCTACAGCTGGCTATACAACACTGCAGCACGCCATTTGAGCAAAAAGGAAAACCAGCCCCCGGATTTTGAAACCAGCCCAAATTTTTGGCGGCAACCAGGATACAACGCAATGATTTATTTCCATACACGCCAACGACGACGTGCACCCCACTCGCCTCACTTTCTGTAGCCAGAGACCACCTTGACAACCAACCAGCATCGGAAAAGATGCTGACCACAGAACCACGCTTGAAGCTGCCATAAAAACCACACACGCGACAGCCGCAAACAACACCTTGAAACACCATCTTCAAGCTAAAACAAAACATCGGTGACAGGAAACATCACGTACGGCAACCCAGTACACCCCAGCACCGAAGGAGTTCACCAGCGGGGTAAAACTCCCAAAGAGATCTTCACCACCCAGCAACCACTCATGGACTGAAAACTTCAGAATCTAGAGTATACCACAACCAACATCACTCTATCTTTCTCTCACAGCCTCGGTTCCAGCCTCAAATAAGCAGCCAGAGTAACAACGTACATGGTCACCCGAGCTATGAATCCAAGAGATGGAACTGAGGTGTGAGACAATGGAGAACCCAAGACCAGCCATGCTGAAAATGACCGGACTGAAACAATAAGAACCAGGCACATCTGCCATAAAAATCCACGTGACACAAAGATGGAAAGCAAACCACTCCACTTCACTGTCGGAAATTTACATAACAGAAAACAAATCTCACTCAGACTGAACTTAATGGGTAGAAGAGATAAACAACTGGCCTCAACTGCACCAGAGCATCACCACAATGAACTACCAACGAGGGAAGCTTTCTCTCTCTAGATTCTAGAGAGAGAGGCTCTGCTTTCTTCCCCTGCAGTTGATGAAATTTTTTCAAACTTTCTCCGCCCTTCTCTATCCTTCTCAATTTTCTTCTACGAACAAATTAACTTAGGCCACTAATTATTTCCTTAGCAAAAGTGGCAAAATTTAACTTAAACTAACCTTGCTTCGTTTTCAAGAAATAGAATTTCTGAGCAATTGTAGCTTAACGATATTTATTTTACTTAAGCAACTTATTTAAGATTTTCTAAATCACCTAAGTGTTCAATTCTCATGTCTAAAAGGTTGAATTTGAATTCCCTTTAATTTTCTACCAATTTCTCTTTCTTTGCACTTTCTCTTCTAGATCTAAAGAATAATGTTTCTCTCTAACTTTCAGTGTCCTTCTCTATACTTCCCTATTTTGTTCTAGGAACTAATTAGCTTAGGCCACAAATTGTTTCATTAGCTTAAGTGGCCAAGTGTAACAACCCCAAAATCCGTATTAGAGATTACCTTTACGGCCTTATGGGTTAATGCATTTTGATTTATTGATATGTGTTCAAATTGAGGAATTATTTGTTGAGCCACGACTGTAAAATTGAAATTACCGACCTTTACGGGTTCAGAAATCACAATTGAGGACTTGGATGTGTTAATGAAATTTTTTAGAACTATTTGGGAAACTTAATTGGAAATCTAATTTGTCTGATTTGTTAATGTGCATTTGGGTGGTTAACTTGGCATTGCAAATTAAAGGCCTTAGAGGCTTCAGAAACCAGAATATGGGACATATTTATGATCATCATAATTTTTAGAGTCATCTGGAAAGTTTAATTGAAATTTAATTTTTCGCGATTCGTAAGGGCGTGTTTGGCCCTCCTTATTTGTGATAAAGTTTGTATAATTAAATATATAGGTGTGTATGAGTTATATAAGTGGTGAACTCATACTTTTGGAGTCAAAAAAACAAAATATCTAAAGAGAGAGAGAGGAAACTGTGAAAGGGAGAGAGGGAAGAGTGTCAATTTTCCCAACATCCATGGAGGCCTTGAAGATGATGGAAGAGAATTGAAGGAAAAGAAAGAAGATCACCCATGGGACTTGGAGGAATTGAAGAGAGCTAAGAGATAGACAAAGATTGAGTTAGGTATAAAAATCTATCTTGAAATCTTGTGTTTAAAGTATCAATTTGGTAAAATCATAGAGATCTTGGAAGATTTAAACCCATTTGGGGTTAAGGTTTATCTATGTATTTACTTGAGCTAATTTGAGGAATTAGAAATTGAGTTCTTTAATTTTGTTTATGAGTGGAGCTCAAGCTCATGGATATCATGAAATAAACTTTAGATTATGCAAGAATCATGTGAATTTGTGGGTTGTGGGTTGTGTTTATAAGAACCTTGAAGATCATGAAAGATTAAGCATTAATCTTGAACTTTGAGACAAAGATTGAATTGTTTGAAATGAAATTACACTTGGTTGATGTTAGTTTATCATGTTATAGCGCAATTCTACATGTTTTTGAGTGATTTATGTTAAGAACCAAGCTTAAAAATGGAAAAACCAAGTGTTGGAGCAAAAAGAGCCATTTTCGGACTGCACACTGCCCAGAGCCGCACGTGCGGCCCTGTTTCCCGCACGTGCGGGAGACAGCTTTGTCCAGCCATCTTTGAATAAGCATATCTTTTGCCTCGGGACTCCGTTTTGAGTGATTCTTGAGCCTAAAATCAAGCCCCGGAAGTCTAGTTTCCAATGGAAGTGGTCTCACTCCCAAATTCTAAATACAAAAATAGTTATACCCAAATTAGTGACGACTGTTCACTTTCTGTCAACTAATTTTATACCATTTCTTCACCTAAACCATTTTCCATTGATTTCTCTTGTTTCTGTGACATGGAGTATAACTTATTAAGGAATATTGAGCTTGGTACCACCATGGCTAATTGATTGAATGATCAAAGAGAATAAGTAAATGATCAAGTAAAATCTCATATTATGTGTTGTGCGCTGTACTTGTAGGTCGAGACGAGGACATCGTCCTATTACTACCGGGAGCTGATCACTGTGAGTAGTAGTACAAAAATGTACATTTTATCTACTGTTGACAATTATTGTCACTAATGCTCTGTTCCTTGTAAGTGTTATACGAACATTTATGACAATTGGAAAGCAATGTGAACTTCTATGAACGCTGAAAGCTTCGCATACGTTGGTATGATTTTGGAATCCTTATGTTCTGTTAATGACGAATATTAGCCACTTGTTATTTATCAGCATGCTATGTTATTTCTTAAAGAATAAGTGGAACCTATGTTCATCCTTGAAGAATGATATTTGTGTGAATCTAAGATTATGTTACGAAGAGACCCAAGATCGTTTAGAATCTATGATATGAATGTAAAGGTTTACCATCAGTATCCAACCCATATAAGAATATGAATTATTCAATTTTGTTAAGCGCATGATAATGATATGATATAACAAGAAATGCTTTGTTTTCTATTAACTTAACGAATGATTATTCATATATGTAGAAGTATTCACATCATCTTTAGCACAAGGCCCTTACCTAGGGGTAATAATACCGTGGTTCAAATAATTAAGTTACAAGTTTACGTATGTTCTAAGTTTAAGTCTGTTATAAGCAGAGTGAAAAACTTTCTTCGTGAAAGGGGAAGAAAGTAGAGCTTCTCTCTCTAGAATCTAGAGAGAGAAAGCTCCCCCCGGTGGTAATGGTCTGGTGCAGCATTTGGCCAGTTGTTTAGCTCCTCTACCCATTCCTTGGTAGAGTGAGTATGTATTTCAGAGTGTGAGATAGTTCAGGTGCTGCCGTTCAATGTTTTAGAGGTGGATCTGTAACATTTGGAGGTGTATTGCTCTGTTTAACCTCCTCTTCCATGAGGAAGGAAGTGCTCTGGTGGCTCACATTCTTTGTGGGTTTCGGCTGGTTGGTTTAGCTCGTCTACCCGAAAATCTGTGGGTAAGTGAGTTTGTTTCAGATATGTTCTTATGCTCCGTTTGGAGGTGTGATGTTATTTTGCTGTCCATCTTTTGTATCCTTGTTCATCTCCATACAGTGGTGTTTCGATGCCGGAGTGTTCGTTGTGATCAATGTTCATGGATGGTTTTGTTGGGTTTGTTTAGCTGGTTGGTTGTCAAGGTGGTTACGATGTTGAGGAATCTGGAAATGGTCAGGTTCTGGTTTTCGATATGTGTTTGCCGATGGTGGAGGTATCTCTACTCCGGCCTCGTTTTGGTTAGCCTTGCGCTAGGATTGAAGCACCGGTTTATAACATGCTAGACTGACTTGCTGTATAACAGGTTGCTCGAGATTAATGCTCGGATGTGCCACTGTTGTTTGTCGCTGCGGGTTTTTGCTTTGCAGTGGACTTTTGCCGGAGATGATTCCTGGTTTCTATGGTGGTTCCTGGGCTCTTGCCGGCAGTGCCGTTTCTGTGTTACCCGGCGTTGGGTTGATGTCCAGAGCAGTCGTGTCTGTGGCAAGGTTGCTGTAGCTCATTTTCCGTCGGAGCCGCTGGGTGGTCAATCTTGTGTTGCTGGCGTTATGATCAACCTGCTCGTTGCTGCTGGGTTGTTCTGGTTTACCTCGGGCTGTGTTGCTGTGCTTCCTTCCCGGCGTTTCTCAGGCCCCGATTGTAGAGAATAATAGCTATGCCAAAGGCGAGTGGAATGCACGTCAGTTTTGGCGTGTAGGTGTTCTTTTTGGGCAGGTAGCATGTAGGTGTTCAGTCACCTTGTTACATCTGTTGTGCTGGCCCCAGCTTTCCCGCTTGAATTTGAAGCCGGTTTCAAAATAAACATGGGGCTGGTTTGTGGTTTTCTTAAGGCTCACGTGGGGCCCAAGATGGGTAGCTTTTTCTGGCTGTCTTTTGCATATAATATTATATTTTTTGGAAAGTGGAGCCTGATTAAGTTTGTTTATTGTTGATATACTCAGTTTCGTGGTAAATTTGGTTATCACATGGAGCAGATAGGGTTACTTTTTTGGTAATTGGTTATGTGGGTTTTGACTCACGGGTTTTTTTGGTCTACGGTTCTTTTAGTAGGGGCCCACGGTTTTGGTTAAGTTTGGGCTGTCCGTGGGCCACTATATTGTGGGCAGATGGGCTCTGTTATTGGGTTCATTTTGGTTATTCTCTTGTTTAGACTCTTTGCAGTGAATTATGTATAGTTAATGATTTTTTGATGATTGATTGTGTGATCCTCATGTGACTCGATATGAGGGAGGTTTTGAGCCATCTCCGCCAAGAGTGATTGGGGCGTCACTGCTTTGGGGAATAGTGGTTTGATAACTAACCGAGTTAGAGACTGGGAGATGAGCGGGAGGATAGCTACCGGTTTCTGGTTGCTTCTTGTCTTCATGTGACCCGTCCTAATTGATCGCAGTGCCACGCCTGACATGGAGTGTAGGGCCCACTGCCGTGGGGTTTGAGGCTTGTGATCTACCAAGGTAGGGACTGGGGGATGTGATGATTGATCTCATGATTTTGTTGGCTATGCATTGGTTTGTTGCTGAGGGGCTACTGTCTTTTCACTTCAACTCCTTGGTCCGTGGCTTATGGTTTTCGATCGTGCTAGCTTCATGTGACTCTGCTGGGATTTCTCATGGGGTAGATTTTATCCTCCGACATGGCTTTAGTTAAGTGGCTTGGATGTCACGGCTGTGAGGAGTGGGTTGCTTATTGGATTCCATGTTTTTATCGGCAGTGGAGTTAGGGGGCTTGCGGGGTTGATTATTATCTTTGACTCGGCTTGAGGGTTGTTGTTTGGTCCGCATGTCTATTTTGTTTGTTAGCTTTGTGGTGTTTTTTTTTGTGTATCTCTGCCCATATATCCACCTCAAGTTCTCATCTATTATCTCTGATGGTAGGGGTTACTTGAGGACAAAGAGGATATTAGGGCAGAGTTGGGGTTTTTTAGCTTTTCTGTTGTTTCTTGTTTGTTCCCCTTTTTAGGGGTTGCGGTGGTAGTTTATGTTGGTTATATTTCTTTTTATTTGTTGTTGGGAGTGCCTGGGGTATGCCCCTTGTAAACTTGTAAATTTTCGTTGTCTTTATTTTATGACTTACTTACCCAAAAAAAAAAGTCTGTTATAAGTTTACGTATGCTATAAGTCAAGAATGTTACAAACTCAAGAATGTTACAAGTTTATGTATGTGACAAGTTCAAATATGTACAAGTTTAAGTAAGGTTACAAGTACAAGTATATACAAGTTTAAATGTGTTACAAGTTTTCAAGTTTAAGTATGTTACAAGTTCATGTATGTTACAAGTCCAAGTATGTTATAAGTCCATGTATGTTATAAATTTAAGTATGTTACAAGTTTAAGTACGATACAAGCTTAAGTATGTTACAGGCTACGTTACATGCTTACATATGTACAAGTTCAAGTGTACTATAAGTTCACAATGTTGAGGAATTCTTTATGGAACTAACAAGGATGCTTTTTGTTGATTTGCCAGCGCTATTAAAAGGCTAAGTATAAGTAAGTATGAATTCTGATTTCTGTTAATGATTCAAGCATAATGCATATGTATGAATTTATTTCCGTTTATAGTATGACATTTATGTATGGTTTGGTCTGTAAGACCTGCTAATTATTGGTATGGAACAAAGTGCTACTTGGAACTAAGTGCTACAATGTGAGCCACCGCTAGAGTCCATGTGAGACACCTCTTGAGTCCATACATATGTGAAAATTATGAGGCTGAAAGCCATTCTGTGAAAGTTATGAGGCTCATGGCCATCTGTATAAGTTGTTATGAAATGAAACAAAGTGCTACACGGAACTAAGTGCTACGATGTGAGTCACCTCTAGAATCCGTGTGAGACACCTCTTGGGTTCATATAGATATATATATGTTTCAAGGGCTTTAATGCCAAATATGTTTTAAGGGCTTAATGCCATTCTGATAAGGGCTGTAATGCCAATCTGATAAGGGCTTATGCCATTCTAATATGAAACAAAGTGCTACACGGAACTAAGTGCTACAATGTGAGTCACCTCTAGAATCCGTGTGAGACACCTCTTGAGTTCATATATCTATATATTCAAGGGCTGTAATGACATTCTGATAAGGGCTTTATGCCATTCTGACAAGGGCTTCATGCCATATGTACAAGGGCTATATGCCACCATGTTTAAGGGCTCCATGCCATATGCTCAAGGGCTATATGCCATCATGTTTAAAAGTTTAATGTTAATGTGTTCAAGGATTTTAAGCCACTATGTCTCACGATTGGGCCTAAGGCCATTTTGAAATGAAAACATGAACAGATTAACTGCGTGATCTTTGTGTTTAAGTATGCGTTGCTAGATGTTATGTGAAAATCGAGCATTTAAGTACTATTACCCACTGAGTTTGCCTCACTTTATGTTATGTCTGTTTTTGTAGGTAAACAACCAAGTGGTTAATCCTGAGCCATGATGCTCGTTCATTTTGTCAACCTTTGAGTGCCCAGACTCTAGATGAAGCCACTCATATTTTTGTGAAGTCTTGACAAACTTTTGGCGCTACGCTTTACTTATTGGCCTAAGGTTGAAATGTGTATAATACTTTCTTCCGAAATGTTTTTGATGTATGCCCAATTATAGAGCTGGGCTTGTATATATGTGCGTATATATCCGATATTCAGGTGTATGTTTTAGATTTTATTTGTCTGTTTAATGTTTGTGATCCTGGCATGATAGTAGTAGCTCAATGGAGTTTGTTTCTATTGTCAATTTTTAATATTTAATGCTTCCGTTCAGGCCCCATATGTTATATATAACATGTTAAGTGTCCGTTTCTGAAGTGGTCATGCCCAAACTTCTAGGGTTTTGGGGTGTGACACCAAGTTTAACTCAAAGTAACCTTGCTTAGTCTTCAGGAAAGTGAATTTCCTGACTCATGGTAGCTTAACGATATTAGTTTAACTTTTGCACATTATTTTAGGTTTTCCAAGTTACCTAAATGATCAATTCTCAAGTCTAAAATGATGAATTTGAATTCTCTTTGATTTTCTTCCGATGCCTCTTTCTTTTGTTGAAGTTACTCTTCTACCTCTCTCAAGAAGAATGTTTCAGTCAAACTTTCTCCGTCCTTCCCTATCCATCTCTATTTTCATCTACGAATAAATTAGATTAGGCCACTAATTGTTTTATTAGCTTAAGTTGCCAAGTTTAACTCAAACTAACCTTGCTTAGCCTCCAAGAAACAGATTTTTCTGAGTATTTGTAACTTAACGATATTAGTTTAACTTAAGCTCATCGTTTAAGGTTTTCTAAGTCACCTAAGTGTTCAATTCTCAAGTCTAAAAGGTTGAATTTGAATTCCCTTTAATTTTCTTCCTACTTTTCTTTCTTTTTTTAACTCTCTTTTCTACCTCTCAAGAAGAATGTTTTTATTCAACTTTCTCCGTCTTCCTCCATCCTTCTCTATTTTATTGAACAAACTAATTAGCTAAGGCCACTAATTTTTTCTGAGTATTTGTAGCTTAACGATATTAGTTTAACTTAACCACCTCATTTAAGATTTTGTAAATCACCTAAATGTTTAACTATCAAGTCCAAAAGGATGAATTTGAATTCCATTTCATTTTGTTCCAATTTCTCTTTCATTTCTCTAACTTTCTCTTCTACCTCTCAAGAATAATGTTTCCATCTAACTTTCTCCATCCATCCCCTTCCTTCTCTATTTTGTTGTAGGAACTAATTAGCTTAGTTCATAAATTGTTTCATTAGCTGAAGTGGCCAAGTTTAACTTAAACTAACCTCGCTTAGCCTTCAAGAATGTGAATTTTCTGCGTAATTGTAGCTTAACGATATTAGTTTAATTTATGCACTTATTTAAGGTCTTCTAAGTCACCTAAGTGTTCAATTCTCATGTCCAAAAGGTTGAATTTGAATTCCCTTTAATTTTCTTCCAATTTCTTTTTTTTCTTTTCACTAATTTTCTCTTCTAACTCTGAAGAATAATGTTTCTCTCTATTTTGTTCTAGGAAATAATTATCTTAGGCCCCAAATTGTTTCATTAGCTCAAGTGGCCAAGTTTAACTCAAACGAACGTTGCTTAGCCTCTAAGAAAAAGAATTTTCTGAGTAAGTGTTGCTTAACGATGTTTGATTAACCTAAGCACCTCATTTAAGATTTTCTATATCACCTAAGTGTTCAATTCTCTCGTCCGAAAGGATGAATTTGAATTTCCTTTAATTCTCTTCCAATTTCTTTCTTTTTACTCTAACTTTCTCTTCTACCTCTCAAGAATAATGTTTCTAGCTAACTTTGCCCATCCTTCTCCATCCTTCTCAATTTTGTTCTAGGAACTAATTAGCTTAGGCCACTAATTGTTTCATTAGCTTAGGTAGCCAAGTTTAACACAAACTAACCTAGCTTAGCCTCAAAGAAAGAGATTTTTCTAAGTAATTGTATCTTAACGATATTAGTTTAGCTTAAGCACCTCGTTTAAGGCTTTCTAAGTCACCGAAGTTTTCAATTCTCAAGTCCAAAAGGATGAATTTAAATTCCCTTTGATTTTCTTCCTATTTCTCTCTCATTTCTCTAACTTTCTCATCTACCCCTCAAGAAGAATGAACTTGTCCAACTTTCACCGTCCTCCTCCGTTCATTTCTATTTTCTTCTACAAACTAATTAGTTTAGGCCACAGATTGTTTCATTAGCTTAAGTGGCCATGTTTAACTCAAACTAACCTTGCTTAGCCTCTAACGAAGATAATTTTCAGAGTAATTGTAGGCCACGAATTGTTTCATTAGCTTAAGTGGCCGTATTTAACTCAAACTCACTTAAATGTTCAATTATCAAGTTCAAAAGGATGAATTTGAATTCCCTTTGTTTTTGTTCCAATTTATGTTTCTTTTCACTAACTTTCTCTTCTAGCTCTGAAGAATAATGTTTTTCTTTAAATTTCTCCGTCCTTTCCCTTCCTTCCCTATTATCAAGTTCAAAAGGATGAATTTCAATTCTCTCATCCAAAAGGATGAATTTGAATTTCCTTTAATTCTCTTCCAATTTCTCTTTCTTTTTTCTCTAACTTTCTCTTCTACCTCTCAAGAATAATGTTTCTAGCTAACTTTCCCCGTCCTTCTCCATCCTTCTCAATTTTGTTCTAGGAACTAATTAGCTTAGGCCACCAATTGTTTCATTTGTGTAGGTAGCCAAGTTTAACACAAACTAACCTAGCTTAGCCTCTAAGGAAGAGAATTTTCGGAGTAATTGTAGGCCACGAATTGTTTCATTAGCTTAAGTGGCCGTGATTTACTCAAACTCAGTAATGTTCAATTATCAAGTTCAAAAGGATGAGTTTGAATTTCGTTTGTTTTTGTTCCAGTTTCTGTTTCTTTTCTCTATCTTTCTCTTCTACCTCTCAAGAATAATCTTTTTCTTTAATTTTCTCCGTCCTTCCCCTTCCTTCTCTATTTTATTGTACGAACTAGTTAGCATAGGCCACAAATTGTTTCATTAGCTTAAGTGGCCAAGTTTGAATCAAACTAACCTTGCATAGCCTCCTCCAAGAAAGTGAATTTTCAGAGCAACTGTAGCTTAACGATATTAGTTTAACTTATGCACCTAATTTAAGGTTTTCTAAGTCACCAAAATGTTCAATTTTCAAGCCCAAAATGATGAATTTGAATTCCCTTTGATTTTCTTCCTGTAGACGCGCCCTTGGGCTTCATGCTACAGTTCCGACTCAAATGTCACGGTTCTTAATCTAATCTCACAATGTGCGATGTGAGATTGATAAATCACCAAAGAGTCCAAATCCAGGAAATCATTTTGGAAAACTAAGTTTTGTAAAGAAGTGCCAAACATGGACTGCTTTGCCAGATACAGAGTCGCCACCTAAATATTTTATTTTGGGGGAATTTAGGAAACACTGACTCGTGCCTAAGGCCACGTGTCCGTCATCACCAAAGTTGCCTCGGCTCGGGAACTTGGATACGATTGGGAAAGGTCATCTATGAGCACCCCCGCTCACCCCGATCAAAGATCGGCTTGTACTAAGCATGATATCTTGCTTTTGAAAACACATGCGTTCTTGTTCTGGTTAATTAGCTAGAATTACTATGTGATGCGCACAACACACAAGTATAGACTAGATCACCTAATTTGGAACAAAGCATCGCATATCCGTTTGTTTGGAAATGGTTTGAAGTTTGCTACTCGCAAGTTTTCAATGAATTATTCCAATTCAAGCAATCCAACCTTCACCCACAGGCATTCAGGCAGTTATATCACATAAGGAATTAGTCTCATGGCAAGCATGCTGTCATGGCAAAACTCACACTCATGCAAGATGCTAAAGCATAAATACTTACAGTATAATCTGAGTCAAAACAAAGAACTAGTTAGTAATCAATGCATGATCCTAATTCATGTCAAAATGGCTAATGCAACACAGGCAAAATGCAACTAGAATAGGCTCAACTATCCTAAGATTGGCATGTGAGATGTGACAAATTGATACATGTATTCAAATAGGAATTGAAATACAATGAAGTCAGTATGATGCGCTGAGCCTGGTGCATGCAATACAGATGAATGGTGCAAACATGCATAGCATAAGGATGCTAATTGGAATATGCCCTAAAACTAACCATCCTAAGCGGTTAAGTAAAAGGGAGAAAGAAATGGGGGTTCGAAGACATGCATCACACACATGCACGCTTATTACATAATTACGCCCTCTCGACGGAGGGACCAAAAGAATAATACAAATTAACTAATTAACTAACTAACAAGCTAATTAATTATTACACAACACTTAACTAATTTAAACAAATTAATTAAGCTATGAAAACTGTAAAACAGCCTCGGGAAGAGGGACGAATGCATGCTTGGTTGGCTTTGCTCGGAAATCCGTTGCCATGCTTCATGTTGCCTCTGTTTGCACTGCTCTGGTCCTCCGAAAATTGTGCCAACTGCTGTGACACTTTTGAACCACCTTGTGCACACTGTGGAAGGTCATCGACCAAGAAATAGGGCCATCGACCATGGGAAATTGGTCATCGACCAAATAATAAGGCTCTCGGCCTGACATTGTTAGCCGATCCGCACTGAATATGGTCGATCGACCGTTTATTCCTGCTGACTGCTCCTTTTGCTGCAATAGAGGACAAACAGAGCATGGCAATGCATTTGCAAGAAAATGTCTGCACAACTACACCCCTTATCAGGTTTAAGACTCAAAGGTGTGTAGTTCTCGACCCTCGGATCATCAATCACGCATTTCAATGTATGATGGCCAAAGGAGCCAAGTGTGCAATTCAATATCAAATGAAATGCACAAAAACACATAAGGGACCCCAACCTCTATCATGCTTGATCAAGAAGCAAGGGAATGCACACATGATGCAATGCAACCTAAGCATGCAAGCAAGCATGCAAGCAACTCAAGCATGCAATAAGTCTAATGCAACATGAGCATGCAAACATACAATATGCAATAGGCATACAACCTAAATATCCAAACATGCATAGCATGCAACAACATGTAAAATGAAACAAGCATGCAACAACATGGTAAGATGGACTTAAACCAAAATGGGCTACTCTCAAACATGCCCAAATTAGTGGCCAAAGTGCTAAGAAATGATGGACAAAAACACATACAAACATATACATGTGATGGCCTATCACCTAG